GTCACAACACTCACGAGGATCCCCAGTTCGGGGGCCCCATCCCTGTGACTGTTGGCACTTTTGAGACAAAAAAAGAAGTACGACCTTTACGAGGATTTCGGGCTTTACCATTGGGGGGTGGGGGGGGAGGATACCATGGGGAGGGGGGGTGGGGGGGTACCGACACGCGACACAAGAGCACTGGTTTTCTTAGCCATTGTTTTCTTAAACAGAGCCGGCACTGTACTCCGTGGAGGTCAAGGTAACATAAGCAGCCCATCTCAACACGGTGACAGGCGCCAATTCCGGAGTTGCTATGTCACAATGCTGTGCTTCTGTGTGCCACTGTGTGTGTGTGTCTCTCTGTGTGTGTCTGTGTGTGTGTGTGTCTGTGTGTGTGTGTGTGTCTGTGTGTCTGTCTGTGTGTGTGTGTGTCTGTGTGTGTGTGTGCGTGCGCGCGCGTGCGTGCGCGCGCGCGCAAGCCCAGTCGATCGGAAGCTCCGAGCTGCCCGGGAAGACGGGGGCATTTCGGGCAGGCAGAAACACCTTCATGACAGTGATATTAGCAATCACATGTGCTCACTTCGTCTGTTCGAGGAGAGGCATTCATTGACATGGTGCACACAATCAGTTTGTGCTTGTTTGTTGGTCTTGTGTGGGTGAGTCGGTGTCGGTGTCGGCGCGCTTGTGCTTCCTTCGGTCTTCGTGCACTTGTCAACTTGACTGATTTTATATGATTGCCTGTGCTTGAATGTATTGCGAGTGCATGCACAGGTGACTCTGCTTGCTTCGCGTGCCGTTTCCTGATCAGGCCTGCCTGACTTTCACCTGCCGTCCAGCACCTGGATGTGCCCTCCTAAGTCATAGTTTGAGATGCATCAACATCTCAGTACGAGGTTGGCCTTCTACCTTCTGAGCGTCTTGGTGCCCAAGCCATGGGTTGCAAGACATCGTGCCACGCCTCTGACTCTGGGACTGGGAGAAATTTGGCAGGTGCTACTTGGAGAGGAAGCGTATGCATCACAGCGGCCGAGTCTGGAGGCGCTTTCCTTCTCAGCTGCAATGAGCCGACGCAATGGCCCACGAGCCGGCTGGCTAAAGGCGTGGCTGCAATTGGCTCCAAACGCCCCGGGACCGGATCCACCAGAGTCCAGCGCCGAAGTGGCCGAAGCAGATTCGGGCATGGCTGAGGAGCCAGGGCCTTGCCAAAAGCGCAGGGTTGTAGGAGCACCGACGAAAGCCACCAAAATCGCTGTTGCTTGGCTTTCAGCATGACGGCTGTAATTCTTTCCCGTCGCCCACAGGTTTCCTTCTCGTCTGCTTTGTAGCCTTGTCTCGGGACTGACTGTGTTGTGCCGATGTCCGCTGCCGCTGGTCGATCATTGCCGTTGTCTGCTGATGATCCTCTGAGGTTGCGAGATGGTGAGCCATGAGGATTCAAAAAGATTCTCGTTAACATTTATCAAAACATACCGGACCTACCGTCTCAATCTCATCTGTAAGGAAGGTGCTGCAATCAGTCTGCAGCTGCCATGTCTCTTTTCCCGCTTTGGCAGAAACTGAATCTTGTTTTCGTGACATTCCAGATAATCGTCAGAGTCTGCACGTTTCTGGTATTCGTCTGCCGCAGCAGCATGAGTATTAGAGCCTCGTGGTTGTGGTCGCTGAAAGTCCACGAGCCTTCAAAAGCCTCTGACTCTGAGGCCTGTGCTGGAGCCGGAAGAAGACCAGCGCCAGACATGGCTACTCCTGCAGCTGAGCACTTAGGAGTCATCTTTCAAGTTGATTCGCCATCAGCAGTGTGATGGCAGTTACAGTTACCCACACGGCAGGTGTATCATTGATTGCATCACAGGAATCCAGGAAATGTTTTGCGGTGATCAATCTTCTTGCAGGATCTGGTATAGTCTGCAGGAACAAGGCCTTTCTGTTTTCTGCTGTACTGTGGGACTAAGGGCAATGCCCATGCAGCAATTGCTTCTTCTCCAACGGACGCCGGGTGCCGAGTTTTTTGCTTCAAAAGGTCTTGCAGCTCGGGCAAGAATGAAGGGTAAGGACAGGTAGGCAGGTAGGCAGGCAGGTGGGCATGGGCAGGTAGGTAGCTAGGTAGGTAGTAGTAGTACCAGTACGATTCGCGGCACTGAAGGTACAACAAGTAGTAGTAGTTGCTGTTGTAACAGCAACAGCAGCAGCAGCCTGAGTAGGAGTAGTAGGACTAGTAGTAGTAATACTAGTAGAAGGGTGGTGGTAGTAGTAGTAGTAGTAGCAGCAGCAGTAGTAGTAGTAGTAGTAGTCGTCGTCGTAGTCGTAGTGGTGGTAGTAGTGGTAGTAGTGGTAGTAGTGGTGGTAGTGGTGGTAGTGGTGGTAGTGGTAGCAGTGGTAGCAGTAGT